CAGGTCGACATGTCGCCACAGCCACCGGTCGTCCACCAGCCTCTTCCAGCGGTGACAGACCCTGGGGGAGGGGACGCGCGGTTAGAACGACCCCAGCCCCAGGCCACATCGCATCTCCAGGTCCCAGGTGCGCCCTCCGCCCGGCCCTTCCCCCCCGGAGGCGGGGCCGCACCTGGAGATGCGGATCCGGTCCCGTACCGGGAGGTAAGAGAAGATCTCAAGCAGGACTGAGTCCGGCAGTTCGACCAAAGTCGCCATGATCCCACCGACACGCACTTCCGCTTCCGGTTAAGGACACCCGAGGGGGTCCCCACGGGGGCCCCGAGGCGGCTGACAGGGCGGCGGCCGCGACCTTCCCGTAGCCGGTAGAGGACTTTGACTTTCCTTTCGCTGGGCAGTGATTGGGTCCCAGGGCCGGACCAGCCGCGGATGGGGACCAGAAACCAGACTGGAAAGCGTGACTGAGGCAGTGAGAGTCTTGCGGGACGTGGCTGAGGCGTGATTTGGCCGCGACTGGGAACTAAGACCAAGTCCGCAAGGCGGGGCTGGAGTGAGGCGAAGCTCGGGGGCGGAGCTAGAGACGAGGACCAAGTCCGAAAGGCGTGGCTGGGGTGGGGCGAGTATCGGAGGTGGTGCTAGAGACGAGGACCGAGCCTGGAAGGCGTGGCTGGAGTTGGGCAAGGCTCAGGGACGGACGGACCCAAGTCCGGAAGGCGGGGCTGGGGCGAGGTTAGGGGGCGGGGCTAGAGACGAGGACCAAGCCCGGAAGCCGGGGCGAGGCCTAGGTGGGGCTGCAGACGAGAACCACGCCTGGAAGGTGTGGCTAGGGCGGGACGAGGCTTGCGGGGCCGGGAGAGGTGCGGACAACCGCTGGAAGGCGAGGCTGGGGCGGGACGAGACCCTGGGGGCGGGGATGGCGACAAGGACCTAGCCGAGAAGACGTAGTCGGGACTGCAAAGGACATGATTTCATTATCTTTTCTTTCTTTTTTTTTTTAATTTTGAGACAAGGTCTCGCTCTGTCACCCAGTCTGGAGTGCAGTGGCGAAATTACAGCTCACTGCAGCCTTAACCTCTGGGGCTCAAGTGATCCTTCCACCTCAATCTCCCGAGTAGCTGGGACTGTAGGGGCATGCCAACACGCCCGGCTAATTTTTGTTTCGTTTTTTGAGATGAAGTCTTGCTCTGTCACCCAGGCTGGAGTGCAGTGGCACAATCTCGGCTCACTGCAACCTCCGCCTCCCAGGTTCAAGTGATTCTCCTGCCTCAGCCTCCGGGGTAGCTGGGACTACAGGCGCCAGCCATTATGTCCGGCTAATTTTTGTATTTTTAGAGATGAGGTTTCACTATATTGGCCAGGCTGGTCTCGAACTTCTGACCTCAAGTGATCTACCTGCCTCAGCTTCCCAGAATGCTGGGATTACATGTGTGAGCCACCACGCCTGGCTAATTTTTGTATTTTTTTGTAGAGCCGGGGTTTTGCCACGTTGCTCAGGCTGGTCTTCAACTCCTGGGCTCAAGAGGTTCTTCCTGCTTCAGCCTCCCAAAGTGCTAGGATTACAGGCATGAGCCACCATGCCCAGCTGCTTGCATTCTTTTTTATGGCTGCATTATGTGTGTCTTCTTGGCTTGTTGCCCTCCTATTATCAGACTGAATTCTGGGGTGGCAGATGGGACTTGTGCACCCCAGCTCTGCTGAGGTGCTCAGATAGTGGGGGGAGGAAACTCCTATGCACCTGCCTCCACCCCTAAGATTACTTCCCTTCTTGTGAACTCTGGCAGGGGAAGGGGAGTTCCTTTAAGTTTGGCAGAACCCAGATGTCCCTTCCCCGCCATCCCCACTCAGTTACAGGGGGTTCCTGCACCACCAGCATACAGGGCTAGAGGGAGGGAAGTAGTCAGGTGAGAGAAAAAGAAACCCACATACAAGCCTTCCTCTGGACCAGGAACCCAGGAAACAAGAGTGTAGAAGGGGCCTGCCCAGCTTGCTCCTTGGGTCTTGACCCAAAACTTCACCTTCTGGAAAGTATCCCCCCCGCCCCCTGCCAAGGAAAGCAGCTCTGAGAACAGATCTTCCTACAGCAGGCCAGGTCTCCATGTGCAACCACAGCAGTGAGTCTTCACCAATACCTTGCAGTAGCTCTGATGAATGTGTAGCTACTCGGGAGGCTGAGGCAGGAGAATAGCGTGAACCCAGGAGGCGGAGCTTGCAGTGAGCCGAGATCGCACCACTGCATTCCAGCCTGGGCGACAAAGCAAGACTCCGTCTCGGAAAAAAAAAAAAAAAAAAATTAAAGACCTGGAGAAAGTGGGGCCTTCAAGCAAAAGCTAGAAGGTAAAACAAAGTCCTTAAGACCCCGCCTGGGTTTCCTCAGAACTTAAGAGTTCATTTAAAATAATGGAGACATTCTTACATACCTTGCAAACCTTGTACCAGGATCCACTTTATTTTTTTTTAATTTATTTTCTTTTCTTTATTATTTTGACACAGAGTTTTGCTCTCGTTGCCCAGGCTGGAGTGCAATGGCGCAATCTTGGCTCCCTGCAACCTCCGCCTCCGGGGTTCAATCGATTCTCCTGCCTCAGCCTTCCAAGTAGCTGGGATTTAAGGCATGTGCCACCAAGCCCAGCTAATTTTGTATTTTGAGAAGAAATGGGGTTTCACCATGTTGGTCAGGCTGGTTTTGAACTCCTGACCTCAGGTGATAGGTGATCTGCCCGCCTCGGCCTCCCAAAATAGTGGGATTACAGGCGTGAGCCACTGTGCCCGACCTTTTTTTTCTTTTTTTGAGAGAGAGTCCCAGGCTGTCCCCCAGGCTGGAGTGTAGTGTGATCTCGCTCACTGCAACCTCCATCTCCCAAGTTCATGTGATTCTTGTGCCTCAACCTCCCAGGTAGCTGAAACTACAGACGTGTGCCACCACACCTGGCTAATTTTTTAATTTTTAGTAGAGACGGGGTTTTGCAATGTTGCCCAAGCTGGTCTCGAACTCCTGACCTCAGGTGATCTACCACCTTGGTCTCCCAGTGCTGGGATTGCAGGTGTGATGTAATGGCACCTGGCCCCATTTTCCTCTTCCCTCAGCAGTACTCCTCATCCCTTTCCCAACTCCTCGCCCCACAGCTCAGCACCAAGACCCTGTGCTTGGCGGATCTTTGAATCCAGCACTGAGAAATTAGAACATTTTGAAAAAGCAAACATTTCCTTTTCCACCCCCGGTGATTACAAAAGTAACATATGTTCAGTGTCAGAAATCTGGAAAAACACCACGAAGTGGGAAAATTAGGCCGGGTGTGGTCACTCATGCCTGTAATTCCAGCACTTTGGGAGGGTCACTTGAGGCCAGGAGTTTGAGACCAGCCAGGGCAACATAGTGAGACAGTGTCCCTCCAAAAAGTAAAAAAATCAGCCAGGCATGGTGGTGCACACCTGAAGTCCCAGGAGGTGAGTCCTCTGGAGTCCAGGAATTGGAGGCTGCAGTGAGCTATAATTGTGCCATGCACTCCAGCCTGGGTGACAGAGCAAGACACTGTCTCAAAAAAAAAAATTTAAAAAAAAAGAAGGGAGAATGAGACTCTCAGTAATCCTACCATGCTACCATGCAGTGGTAACTATAGTCAATGCTTGCGTGACCCAGTATTTGTTTTCTTTTTGTTTGTTTTTGAGATGGAGTCTTGCACTATTACCCAGGCTGGATCTTGACTCCCTGCAAACTCCACCTCCCAGGTTCATGCCATTCTCCTGCCTCAGCCTCCCCTCCTGGGACTACAGGTGCCTGCCACCACACATGGCTAATTTTTTTGTACTTTTAGTACAGACGGGGTTTCACTGTATTAGCCAGGATGGTCTTGATCTCCTGACCTCATCATCCACCCACCTCGGCCTCCCAAAGTGCTGGGATTACAGGCATGAGCCACCGCGCCCGGCCCAGTATTTCTTTGTTTTCAAACAGAGTTTCACTTTGTTGCCCAGGCTGGAGTGCAGTGGCACGATCTCCGCTCACTGCAACCTCTGCCTCGCAGGTTCAAGTGATTCTCCTGCCTCAGCCTCCTGACTAGCTGGGATTACAGACGCCCACCACATTTTTGTAGTTTTAGTAGAGATGGGGTTTTGCCAATTGGCCAGGCTGGTCTCAAACTCCTGACCTGAAGTGATCCACCCGCCTTGACCTCCCAAAGTGTTGGGATTATAGGTGTGAGTCACTGTGCCTGGTCGTGACCCAGGATTTCTAAGAGAATGCAAGTATGTGCTGCTTCTAAACTTCCTCAGGCACCTCAGCCCCCTCAGCTCACTTTTGACCTTCCAATCTGTTTTGTCCTGGCTGGAGTCTCCCCAAAAGCAGAGGCAGGGGAGTTCCCACAAAGGAATGCCCTAAATCATCCCAAGAGGGGACCAGTGGGGATTTCAAGAAAACACCAATTACCAGAGCAATCAGTCCAAAGCATTTATTAGGGAAACTTACAGAGTACTCCAACAATCATCAAGACAGGAAAGAAAAGGGTGTTCTACCGAGGTACAGCTGCAGCTAGGGGTCAGGAAATGGAGTTCAGATGCACAAGGCAGCATGTCTGGTTTCCATTTGAGTAATGGGCCACCTGCTGGTCTGGCAGGTGTCAGCTTGACCAAAACAGGATTGTAGATTCTTTCCCTGGGATGGGGCGTTCCACAACTTTGGTTTTATATTTAGATTTTCTTTTTTTGGTTTGGTTTCGTTTGGAGAGTTTCTCTTGTTGCCCAGGCTGGAGTGCAATGGCACTATCTCGACTCACCGCAACCTCCACCTCTCTGGTTCATGCAATTCTTCTGCCTCAGCCTCCCGAGTAGGTGGGATCACAGGCATGCACCACCACACCAGGCTAATTTTGTATTTTTAGCTGAGATGGGGTGTCTCCATGTTGGTCAGGCAGGTCTTGAACTCCTGGCCTCAGGTGATCTGCCCACCTCAGCCTACCAAAGTGCCAGAAACAGGCTTGAGCCACCGCGCTGGCATTGGAGAATTCTTTTTTTTTTTTGGTTTTCACATTTTTATTGGGAGCCGTGGGAGGGGCCGCCTCTGTCAGTGAAGGTGCTCACAGTTTCTTCAGCCACTCCAGGCTGGGGCCCTGAGGGTCCTGGGGGTGGCTGGGCACGTCCGGCACGTTCTCATCATCACGGACGGGCACTGGGTAGTTGTAGGGCGTGGCCTCATTGATCATGATGGAGTACTTGAAGTAGGGGCTGAATGAGGGCATAATTATAGCGAGGCCCCCGATGACAAAGGACGCGACCAGCACTGGCTCCTTGTCCCAGGCATTCTTGAGGAAGGCGCTGAGCCTCGCAGCCATCTTGGTCTCCGGCATTGGAGAATTCTTAAACCATTGTAGCAGTATAGTTCAACAATAGTAAAAGGTGGTTTTAGTCTCTGGATCCTGCCATTCAAAAGCAAATGATAGGCCGGGCATGGTGGCTCACGCCTGTAATCCCAGCATTTTGGGAGGTTGAGGTGGGCGGATCACTTGAGGTCAGCAGTTCGAGACCAGCCTGGACAACATGGTGAAACCCTGTCTTTACTAAAAATACAAAAAATAGCCAGGTGTGGTGGTGCGTGCCTGTAATTCCAGCTACTCAGGAGGCTGAGGCAAGAGAATCGCTTGCACAAGGGAGGCAGAGGTTGCAGTGAGCTGAGTTTGTTCCACTGCACTCCAGCCTGGGCAACAGAGCAAGACTCTGTCTCAAAAAAAAGAATTGAGACACAGCCTCGCTCTGTTGCCCAGGATGGAGTGCAGTGGCGCGATCTCAGCTCACTGCAACCTCCGCCTCCAGTGTTCAAGTGATTCTCCTGCCTCAGTCTCCCAAGTAGCTGGGATTACAGGTGCCCACCACCACACCTGGCTAAATTTTTTTTTTTTTTTTTAAAGTAGAGACGGGGTTTCACCATGTTGGCCAGGCTAGTCTCAAACTCCTGACCTCGTGATCTGCCCACCTTGGCCTCCCAAAGTGCTGGGATTACAGGCATGTCCTTAACCTTGTCTACATAAACCTGTCAATTGATTGAGACCTGTCTCAGATACTTTTTGGCTTACAAATTGACTGAATTGAGGAAGGAAGGCCCTTGTCTCACCAGCCCTCGCAAACCTGGAATCTGGTACGGAGTGCTCCCCAAAGATATAGATGCAGGAGACTGTGCAATTGTCCAAAGTTTCCAGTTACCTTGCAGGCATTTAAGGTTGGTGACTGACAGTGAGGCAGGAGAACAAAGAAAATGAAGCAGAAGAAGAGCAAAGGGAATTAAACGTTGGATAAAGGGCAAAATAAGTAAAACCAGAGAGCAGAAGCAAGGTGAAGGGGCGGGTGAGCAAGAAGCAAGATAAATGGCAGAAGCTGAGGAGACAAAACAAAAGGAAGATTAAAAACTGAGTAAAAATCCCATGGCCAGGGAAATCAGGACCAAACCAGTAAGGAACAGCTCTTTAGGCATAAGCATGCGCATTAAACACAAAAAGTATCCTTAACGTAAGGATAACCAGCTCATTAGCGCTCATGCATATGGACGGCATATCATGCAGGTACTTAAAATTATGGAATGAAGACGGCCCTCAAGCGCACAGGGGCCAAAGTAACTAAGCAACACACCTATCATTCAAAAAGGTAGACACTGGCTACAGATTAGGCAGCCTTGGGAAAAGAAGAAAAGCCTGGCTAACATGGTGAAACATCATCTCTACAAAAACTACAAAAATTAGCCGGGCGTGGTGGCGGGCGCCTGTAATCCCAGCTACTCGGAAGGCGAAGGCTGCAGTGAGCCGAGACCGCACCATTGCACTCCAGCCTGGGCAACACAGCGAGACTACGTCGGGGAAAAAAAAAAAAGACCCAAACTACACCAAGCTGGGGCTGATCTTATCTCGCAGAGGTCAGTCCGCTCTCCCCTCCGAGAGTGGAATACTGTGCTTAATAAACTTGCTGCTTTGCTATCTCTGTGTGACTCGTTCAAATTTTTGTTCGGGGCACCAAGAGCCTGCAACTGTGCGGTAACAGCAGCTATTCGGCAGCGTAGAGTCTAGTCCAGGATCCAGCTTCGCCTATTGACTGGAGTCCGCATCCCGGGGGAATGCGATGGCCAGAGGGCAGAGGTGAGCAAAATGCTCACGACGCCCAGCCCTGAATGAACCCAGGGGGTCAGAAGGGATGACTGCAGAATTCGCTCCCCCTACTCCCTCCACCCTCGCTCCTAGTAACCGCATAAAGAGGCTTCGGGCCCCCACCCCCGGGACCCTCTGGTGTCCCACCATGTGACCGAGTCTCCCTGCAACAATGACTTAAAAAGAGCTGGGGCCAGCGCCGGACCTCTGGCTCTCGCTCCACGCCCTTTCCCCGGCCCCACACCCGCCAAGACCCCCCTCTCTACCCCACGCGCCTACCGCAGGCGTCCCCCTGCCAAGCCTTGGGTCACGGAAACCGTACTTGTGAACCGCAAACACACAACAGACTGCAGACCCGGAAGAACCCGAGCCAGTGTTGACCACACCGCCTGGCTAGGGGCGGGACTTCCGGCCCCGCGTTTTTACTTCCGCTTCCGGTTCCCAGCGTCAACTGCAGCCGGGGTTCTGCGCTCGGGTGAGGAGCTAGTGGCGTCGGCAGGTTCGAGGCGATTCGAGGTGAGGGGGTCAAGCGGAGAGGCTCGGAGTTGGGGAAAGCTGTCGCGACCCAGCCACCCAGGGTCTGGGGTCGGTGGGAGGTGAGGCCAGGGAGTTTTGTGTCAGGGCATTCAGGCGTCGAGAAGGGGCGGATGCGCGGCTGCCTGGGGTTCGCGGCCCTGGGACAGGGGACTTGGCCTGGGAGTATTCGAGTGCGGGGGGTTGGGAGCAGAACGGAAGGCTCAGTAACCGAGAATTTTAGGGCCTGGGACTGGGAGACTTGTAGGCTGGGGCTTCTGGGTCTGGGAGACGCCCGAAGCTCTGATTTTGCTACTTCCCACCCCACTGCTCTGTGTAGCTCCAGCTAGGATGATCGAGGTTGTTTGCAACGACCGTCTGGGGAAGAAGGTCCGCGTTAAATGCAAGTATCCACTGGCAGCCGAGAGGCAGTGGTACTCGCAGGGGTGCTTGGCGTGAGGCAGGCAACTCAATCCGTTGTCGGATGGTTTTAGTTAAACCCGGGAGAGGGGGCGGATGGGGTCCTGGCAGATGGTATTCAGCCCTGGAATGTCCTCTTCCTCGTTCTACCGCTCCCATTTGCCTTAACTCCTCTGCGCCCAGCACGGATGATACTATCGGGGACCTTAAGAAGCTGATTGCAGCCCAAACTGGCACCCGTTGGAACAAGATTGTCCTGAAGAAGTGGTGAGTGCAGTAGTAGAGCCACTGGGTGGACTGGACTAGGCCGGAAGGTTTTGGTTTGGGGGAGCGCTGCAAGCAGCCCTTTGCTTAGGCTGGGCTACCTCATTCGGCCTCCAGGCTGAAGAGCCTACTTAGCCTTATCTCTGAAATGTCTCTTTTCCTTAGGTACACGATTTTTAAGGACCACGTGTCTCTGGGGGACTGTATCCTTTGTGTGACTTCTTGAGGAAGCATCTACATACCCAGCCTCGGTTATCTTCGTTCCAAACTAAAGTCTGCATGAGATAATGTTTATTAAGTGTTTAACTTAGTACGTGGCACATGGTGAGCACTTAGAAAGTGGGAGCTAGGCTGGGCGCCGTGGCTCACGCCTGTAATCCCGGCACTTTGGGAGGCCGAGGTAGGCGGATCATAAGGTGAGGAGATCGAGACCATCCTGGCTAACACGGTGAAACCCCGTCTCTACTAAAAAATACAAAAAAATTAGCCGGGCATAGTGGCGGGCGCCTGTAGTCCCAGCTGCTCGGGAGGCTGAGGCAGGAGAATGGCTTGAACCGGGGAGGCGGAGCTTGCAGTGAACCGACATCGTGCCACTGCACTCCATCCTAGGCAACAGAGCGAAGACTGTCTCAAAAAAAAAAAAAAAGAAGAAGAACATGGGAGCTATGTAATTATTTGGTTGGGGAGAGGGTAGTTGGTGAAAGTTTGACTTCAAGTTCAAAATATTTATTACTGACCTCCACCTGAGTGCTGGACAGTAGGTCAGGGTGGGGTGAGACTTAGGTATATCTATTGTGCAGAAGGAACAGAAACTTTTTGAATTTTTATTTTATTTATTTTTTTGAGACAGTCTCGCTCTGTCGCCCAGGCTGGAGTGCAGTGGCGCGGTCTTGGTCCACTGCAACCTTCACCTCCCGAGTTCAAGCAATTCTGCCTCAGCCTCCCAAGTAGTTGGGATTACAGGCCTGTGCCACCACTCCTTGCTAGTTTTTGTATTTTTAGTAGAGATGGGGTTCTGCCACATTTTCCAGGCTAGTCTCGAACTCCTGGCCTCAAGTGATCCTCCCGCCTCGGCCTCCCAAAGTGCTAGGATTATAGCCATGAGCCACTACACTTGGCCTAGAAGGAACAGAAACTTTTTTTTTTTTTGAGATGGAGTTTTGCTGTTGTTGCCCAGGCTGGAGTACAGTGGCACAATCTTGGCTCACTGCAGCCTCTACCTCCTGGGTGTAAGCGATTCTCCTGTCTCAGCCCTCCAAGTAGCTGGGATTACAGGTGCCCACCACCACACCCAGCTAACTTTTTTGTATTTTTAGTAGAGATGGGTTTTCACTGTGTTTAAACATCACAGTGTTGGCCAGGCTGGTCTCAAACTCCTGACATCAAGTGATCCACCTGCTTCAGCTTCCCAAAGTGCTGGGATTACAGGCGTGAGCCACTGCACCCAGCCAGAAATTTTTTGGTAAAGTTTCAGTTCTCTCCAAATAAAAATGGCCTGGTCCAAAATGGGCTTCCTTAGCCCTGAACTGAGACCTCAGGCCACCCTGACCCAGCTGTGAATGGATGAGAGGGGTGGGGATGGAAGCCAGAGTCAGGATTCCTTAACACCTTTCCTTCAGATGAAATCCACGATGGGATGAACCTGGAGCTTTATTACCAATAGATGAGAATCCTCATCTTCCTGCTGCCCTGCTCTCCTTTCCCATCCTCATCCCCCACACTGGGATAGATGCTTGTTTGTAAAAACTCACCTTAATAAAGACTTAGATGTTGCTTTGTTGCTGTCTCTTTGCATGAGAGCTGTCTAGTGATGGATGGATTGGTCGCTGCTAGGTCATCACTGCACCATCAGTATGTACCTGCTGAAATAAGAGCTCCAGATCAACTGGATCCATGAGGGCAGAGTAGACCAGCAGGCTGGGAGTCTGTGTAGGAGCCCAGAGAGAGCTCTGGGGTTTGCTGTGGGTGTCTGAAGGTCAAGAGACGCTGGGATTATTGTCACCCTAATAGACCAAAGAGCCTCCAGGTCATGACAGTAGATGGAATTGTTAGGAATTAAGATTCTGAAATCACACAGACCTGAGGAGGTATAGATGAGTTTAAAGCATGTTTAAACATCCACAGTTCCTGGCACCATTTTTTTTTTAAGACAGGGTCTTGCTCTTTCACCCAGGCTGGAATGCAGTGGTGCGATCATAGCCCACTGCAGCCCTGAAGTGGACTCACACAGTCCTCCTGCATCAGCCTCCCAAGTAGCTGGGCGGTGTGTACCACCATGCCTGCTAAAACTTTTTTATTTTTATTTTGTTTTGAGACAGAGTCTCGCTCTGTCACCCAGGCTGGAGTGCAGTGCAAGCTCTGCCTCCTGGATTCAAGCAATTCTCCTGCCTCACTTGAGTGCTGGGATTACATACCATGTAAAATTTTTTGTAGAGACAGGGTATCCCTGTGTTGCCCAGGATGGTCTTGAACTCCTGACCTCAGACGATCGTCCAGCCTTGGCCTCCCAAAGTACTGAGATTATAGGTGTGAGCCATCATGCTTGGCCCTGGCACTTCTTTTCAAGACAAAAATAAGGTGATAGCAGATAGTGTGGCACTATAAGTGTGGCTACGTGAGCTCAGCCTCAAGAGTCAGACCAACTAGATTTGAATTTTTTTTTTTTTTTTGAGATGGAGTCAGCCCAGGCTGCAGTGCAGTGGTGCGATCTCTGCTCACTGCAAGCTCCGCCTCCCGGGTTCACGCCATTCTCCTGCCTCAGCCTCCCGGGTAGCTGGGACTACAGGTGCCCACCACCACGCCCGGCTAATTTTTTGTATTTTTTTCATAGAGACGGGGTTTCACCGAGTTAGCCAGGATGGTCTCGATCTCCCGACGTTGTGATCCGCCTGCCTCGGCCTCCCAAACTGCTGGGATTACAGGCATGAGCCACTGCGCCCGGCTTAGATTTGAATTTTCTTTTTTTTTTTGAGACGGAGTCTCGCTCTATCGCCCAGGCTGGAGTGCAGTGGCCGGATCTCAGCTCACTGCAAGCTCCGCCTCCTGGGTTCACGCCATTCTCCTGCCTCAGCCTCCCGAGTAGCTGGGACTATAGGCGCCCGCCACCTCGCCCGGCTAGTTTTTTGTATTTTTAGTAGAGACAGGGTTTCACCATGTTAGCCAGGATGGTCTCGATCTCCTGACCTCGTGATCCACCCGTCTCGGCCTCCCAAAGTGCTGGGATTACAGGCTTGAGCCACCGCGCCCAGCTACATTTGAATTTTGATTGATCCTTAGCATGTAATCCTTTTGCCTCAGCCTCCTGAGTAGCTGGAAGTTATAGGTGCACGCCACCACGCCCAGCTAATTTTTTTAGTAGAGCTGGGGTTTCACCATGTTAGCCATGATGGTCTCGATCTCCTGACCTCGTGATCTGTTCGCCTCAGCCTCCCACAGTGCTGGGATTACAGGCGTGAGCCACTGCGCCCGGCCCTGAATTTCTTATTTCTTTATACCACTCCTCCCACCAGTGGTGAGCATTAATACATTTAAGTGACTCTAGAAACTTTCTGAAATGACCTAGAGTTTTCATCATACGGGGATAATTATATGTTCTGTAATATTTATATGCCATTCCACAGTTTGCTTTTCTATGCTTTATTTTTTTTAATTATTATTTTTGATTATTATTATTTTGTGAGATGGAGTTTTGCTCTTTTTGCCCAGGCTAGGGTGCAATGATGCAATCTCGGCTCACTACAACCTCTGCCTGCCAGGTTCAAGCGATTCTCCTGCCTCAGCCTCCCAAGTACCTAGGACTACAGGCAGGAGCCACCACACCTGGCTAATTTTTTGTATTTCCAG